ATTTTGAATAACTTTAAAAAAATTATCATCCAAACTTTTTATTGCTGTGTTATAAAAATTATATGATAGTGTTTTCGACCAAATAATTATATACAAATTTTAAATTGTTAAGAGTTTAATTATATGAACAATTTAAGAATAAAAGAATTATCAGCAATTGTGAAACTTGCTCATAGTTCATCATCTGAACTAACTAAATACTTCATGGCTGCAAAAATTGTGAAATTATTTATAAATGAAAAAAGTTTTACACACAAATGACATTTAATCACATAGAAAATAAAACAAATTTATTTATCTTATTTTTGCATGAAATTTATGTATTTATTCCTTTGCTATGTGAAAGATCTAAGTACATTGAAATTGTTATTATATGCATACATGCTTTTTATTCTTAATTTTTATGCTGATGTCATCAAAAAAATTATTTTTATAGAACAAATATTCACTAAAGATTCTTGTTCTCAATTAAACTGAATTTCCTGCAAAAGACAAATTTTCAATTCAAGAAATTCTACTAGCTTTAAAACAAAACAATTTTAAATTTATTATCTTCATAAAAATTAATAATAAATAAAATAATTTTATTTATTATGACATTGTCACAATGCCTTGCTGCAATATTTCATCAAAACGCTCCGAATTTTAGTAGTGTATTGCCCCTGAACATCATACTTCTCCTATTAGCAATGAAGTCATGCCAGTCATCTATGTAACTTCATTCAGGAGAAAATTTTTGAATTGAAATAATGTGACTTCCAGTCCAAACCAGAAGTTTGTATATAATTGTATGTCTCGAGCCTTATGCCCCTAATCTTTCTGTATTTGGTCACAACTTTCATTCCTTTAACTTTGTTTTTGAGATTAAGAAAGGACAGACAGATGGATGTCAGTGGGAATTTATAGGTCTATAATTTTTGGAAATTGCAGCCCAATAAAATACTTTTAGTTTCATTTTTATATAAAGAGTTAAATTTACTTAGAATATAGATGTCTTCAAAATAATTTTCAATGTAGTATTTCATTTATTAAAGAAGCCCTTAATATTTGAAAAGGCAAAAGTAGTTTATTAAATTTAATTTTAGTGTCATATTATCAGTTTTGTGGGTCATTGTTTTAACATTATTTGTCATATATTTTATTATAAGTATACAATCATTTGGTTAAAACAATGTTTTGAATATTTTATGTCCATTCAATTTTACACTTATTCTTCAAATATTATTAACAATTATTTGTTGATCTTATATTAAAATTATATAGCAAAATAATACATCACTCCATTTTACATAAGTTATAGAATAATATATGTCTAGGGAAAAAAATTTTTTATCAGATTTATAATTTACATTTCAAATAGCTTGAAATTCAATGTAGGTTGATGCAGTGATTAATGTATAATTATTGACTATAAAATATTACTCTATATGTTTTTCAAATATTGATTACTATTTCATTTATAAAACTCATTTGTATTATTTCAACTGCAATAATTTTATTTATTAAAATTAAGTATAAAATACCATATTAAATGTGTAAAATTTTTATTACAATAATAATTGTGTACTTTTATTGAATATTTCAACAGATTTGGGGAAGTGACAATGAAAATGAAGATGATGAATTAAAGGATGATAACAGTGGAAAAGGAAAAGCTCTTCCAGAAGAAAATATTGCTGCAAAAGATGATAATATAGAAGAAAGGAATGATGATGAAAGCAAAGAAAATCAACCTCATTCTGAAGTAACAGATCACCATGATGATGAATATGATGGTGAACATGCCAATGAAGTTAATGAACAAACAAAACAGGTATAAATTTATTTATTTATTTCAGTTGCAGTAGGAAATGTCTCTAACAATTGATTAACTTCACATTAACAATAATAACCTGAAACAAATAATAAAACTTTTTATTTCAATGAAACATTTTGCATAAAAATGATAATTAAAAATCAAATAAATTTCATTAATATTTGAATCTCTCTTTTGGTTTAACTGTAACTAACTCTCTGGTTTCACTATTTCTTTGTTTTACTAACAATTGCTGGTGAAATTTAGTTCCATGAGTCATTGTAAGACAGTTTGATATAGCAGAATATAATTTAAACCAATATATTTATAGCTATTTGTAATATCAGATAATAATAGAAGCAATTTTTTTAATCTGAATAGATGACAGAAAGTTATGTAAGTGTTTTGTGCTAATAAAACATTTAGTTATTATTGTTAAATGAAATTAGCAATGATTAATAGAACAGGTGTAATAGTTTAATCTATTATTTGATTAATGTAGTGTTATATTATCATTACATCATTAATTTTAATTTGTTTCTGGTATTATGCTTCAGAAATTGTTAAAAAAAAATTGTGGAAAAAAACTAAAATATCAAAATTAGCAGTTTATTGCATAGTATTGAATGCTTCCAAATAGCGTTGCCACCTTTTCAAAATCGCCGACCCAGACTGCAGGTCAGGTTTGTTTGAACAGAAGTTCCTGACACATGCGCAATGTCATTTTACAATGTGAAGAATAACGTGCATGCCGATTCTAAATCAGTTACAGTTAGGGACTAGGGACTTGCATAGGAGTAACGTAAGTAACCTAAATTAAGAAAGAACAGGTACAGCAGATAACTTACCTCTATTTGAGACGTGTACATGCAAATAAAAAAAGGCTGACAGGTTGTGCACCACATGTTGGCATAAACAGACTAACGTGGCAGAATTTCAGATGAATTTCAGTGAGTGCGAGTTCTTTCACTGTTAAAATAGTGTAAATTTGTAAAAATATTTGCAAGAACTTGTATCATTGTAATTTCACAATTTCTACGAAATTCCAGGACAAAATTAATAGTTTACCCAGACAGCAAGTCAATTCCTGGACTGTCCAGGTGAAAACTGGATGGGTGGTAACACTACTTCCAAAACAATTATCAACATTAAGAGAAAAATTATTTTTTTAAGAAAGAAAGAAAAAAAAACAACTATTTATAAAGCTAAAATAAGAACTTAAATATTTCTAAAGATTTGGAACAATCAGAATATTTGTCACCTAGAGATATTACAGGAACTGTAATCTCTAGGTGACAAATATAGAATTGTACCAATAATGAAAATGCTATTTTTCTTTTTCATAGTCATGAACATTTTCTCTGCATTCAATGATAATTTTATAGTTTTCTAACTTTGTAATGTTACAATGATCAAATATTTATCAGTCAAATATAAACAAACACTTTCTCTGTTATGCAGAATAAATATTTTTGTAGTTTAAAAAGTTAAATGTAATTATAGGATTTACTGAATTATCAATACCAATTAATAATTTGATGATAATTTAGTTAATTAATAAATTTAACAAATTCTATTGGAATTAGAATTGATTATTTGTGAATAGCTGCTATTATTAATAAGGATTATTTATAAATAAATTTTATTTTCATGTTCCAGAAAGCTTTGATATTCCTGATGATTTACATATTGAAGAAGAATCAGCAATGGAAATAGGTAATTTATTTTTATAAAAGATAAGTGCTAAATATATTATATTATATATTATGAACAAATTCAAATATCATTTTTAAACACAAAACTGAGTTTCCAAAAACCAATTTACAGCACAAATTAATCAGAAAGCAGTTTTCTGATAAATTTGTGCTGGAAATTGGTTTCAGTCATTTTGTGTTTATTAAGTATACCCGGTTTTGAGTAGTTGATTATAATTATCATTTTTTTTATTATGTAGCAACTGATTGGCTGAAACAGAAAAAATTGGTTGCTAGGGCTTTTTTGAAGCAAATATAAAAATAGAGCTATAAAACTAATTATTATATAACACTTGAAAAAATAAATAGATAAAAAATGAAAAAAAAGGTTTGATGTTTTCACTTTATGCCTATTTTAACCAAGAATTTTAAAAGACCTTGAAATAAAGAAAAATTATAATGAAAATAAAAAGAATTCAGAGAAATTTTTAGCATTAATATACAGGTTTAACTTTAGATTAGATAAGTAATATTTTACTTATCTAAATATATAGTTGTAAAATATCTACTTTATAGTAGTAAAATATGATTTTCTCTGATTAATTCTCAGGATCATTTTCTTGAGATTTAATCAGAGAAAATCATATTTTATCTTATAAATCAGTGTTGGTTCCACTTTTAAATCCTACAGAAAAAAAGCCAAATATTTACTTCATCAGATTAAAGTTTACAATATCTTGTTCATATATGAAGAAAGAAAGCATCATTACAGAGAATCGTCATGAAACAAACTGTCATAAAATAAAATACATAAATAGAAATTGTCTTGAAAAAATTATCACTTAGTTATAAGTGAAAAATGCATTTACAAAGGGCCAGATTTATATACACTGCTATATGCATGTTTAAAATGTCTGAAATATGCATTATGTATGTTAAAAGCACCATTAATACACAATAAAATTTGTAGGTTAATTGTATTATTTAATTGTTTCTATTTGCAGGAAAGAAATGAAAAAAATTTGAATGTTTTTATATGCAAGCAGAATATCATATATATTGGTGTATCCTGTATCAAAATTATTCATTCTCCTCACATATCTCGCGAAGTGCATGCATACATTAGTAAGATTTGCTCAAAGAAGTAATGTCTATTTCAATACTCTTTTAAAGTGGGAGAGGATAAACATGCAACAATAGATGACACAACAGATTTGGAATTTACTGTATTTTTGCAGATTGACCAACATGCCACTTATAAACAGGAGAGACCAGCATGCCAGTTAAACTACCACTAAAATATAAAATTAATTCAGATAACAAAACTAGTTGTTAAACAAATGTTTAAAAATTCTTTCCAGTACAATAATACATGGTATATCATTGTAATTTGACTGATAACATCAGGAAGAGAGTTTTTGTTTACAAGACAATAAAACAATTATCAACTTATTGACATTAATAGTAGTAGTAGAAGTTAGCCAGTGTGGCTACACTGACCATCCCCCTCAACCTTAAAAATAACACCATCTCAAATTTCACACAAAGCCCATGTTAATTCATGTAAGTTGAGATAATTTACAGTGAGTTTCTTAAATTTAATATGTTTATTTTTGAATGGAATTACCATAAAATAAACAAAAAAAGCACTTTCAGAATCCAGGAGTATTTTACATCATTTGAAAGAAGACAAAATGAAGAAATTAAACATATAATATAGTTTTTGATGTAATGCTGACAGTTTCATAGTTATAGAATAAAAAGTTGTTTGTTTTTTAATGCACCCTCTAAAGAGGGATGTATAACCTCACTTAAACCAGCATGCCAGTTTTTACCATATCTGATTTCCTGGTCATTCTGCAAAAATATAGTATGATGTATTAGAATATCATTTTATGTAAGTGTGCAATCAAGTTAATTATGAATAAACTAGCAGATAAGTACAAATCTTAATGTTTGTACTTATATTTTTGCCCAGTGTTACCTGGGCAAAAATATAAGTACAAACATTAAGATTATTAGATTATTTTGTACTTCTAACCCTTCTATTATATTATAGTATTTGATTTATATAACTATAAAGGTTATGATATAACAAATATTAAAATGAAAATCATATAAGCAGTTTGATTATTTTAGCTTATCATTGTCGTGTTTATCGCAATACTCGGGTGGTATAGAATGGCACAATTTCATCAGTCAAGTAGACACCAATTGAAAATATAATATCTTATAAAATTTAGGATATCATATTTTTTCCTAATGTTAACTCTAAGGAACTGGACCATTCACAGCAAAGTATCAAACGGTAATCTGCCAATGAATCAAATTTCTCAAAAAATGGACCAAATATTTAAATTTGGCACCCTTGAAAAAGCACTTAAATCATATTTTGTGCAGGCTGGTAACCTTGTATTATGTAATTTTACTATTTGAACACCACCATACCAGTGGGTCTAATAGGAAGAAGGGACTGTTGCAGATGGAGGTTGAAGTTAATTTGACCATCACAACCTATCCAGTGTTGGATAGGTTGTGATGATCCTGCACATGATCAAAGTTACTAACTTTAATGTCCAAAGATTTGTTTAAATAAAAAAATCTTGTAAAAATGTGAGAATAATTGATTTATGTGATCCTGTAAAAAACTGGTGAATCCAGGTTGAGAAAGTAAAGCTTAACAAAAGCATCTGAGTAAAGAAAACTTGAAACTTGTGGCATAAGCATACTGGAAGTAGATTTGACAGAAAGACTCAACATGTGAATAAAGTGCACATTACATAGACTACAACTACAGGAAATTTTGAATGAAGCAATTTTGCCATGATAATAAATGGGAAAAATAAACATTGGCACAGAAAATGACTGAGCTCTACTTTGTGCCTTAATATCACTGCACATACTGCACATTAATTTGGCTGAACATTAGAACATCTTAAGCAGTATCAGGGAAAGACATTTGGGGCAATGGATTTATGAGTTAGTAAGGGGAGATGAGATCAGGAAAGCGAACAATCTGCTGAGGGGATGCATCCCAGGAAGACTTTTATGCAAAGCTGGACCCTATTTAGGTGTTACTAACATGAAGAAAACCCAGAAAACTCCATGTGACCAGTCCATTGGCCATGCGCAAACCCATAACTGAAAAAATTGTAAACCTATAAATTTTCATTGTTGTTTGTCTGTCCGTCTGTTCCTTCCTTAATCTTGAGAGCGGAATTAGATAGATGAAATTTGAGACCAGATTAACAATATATGTACTTTCAATTCGTATCATAAGTCATGTTATTTCAATTCAAAAATATTTCCCTGAACAGTTAGATACCATAACTGGCACAACCCTATTGCTAACAGGTATGATGTACAGGGGCAAAATACTACTATACTCTATGCAGGTAAGTGCTGTGTGCTACTTCTTGTAGTAACCAGATAATGGTGTGTCTATTTCTCACTATATCATTGTCGAGTAATTCAGTGAATATAATATATATTTTTAAAAATTATATTTTGCTAATTTTTTCCAATAACTACCACTACATGTAAAGCCAGCAATCAAACATAGACAGAAATTAATTGATAATTTGGGATGGGATGTACGACATTATCTAAGTTAGAAGTATCTACTATATAAAGCTGAAAAACCGGATTCTTTCTTTCTGTCACTGTGTGCCAAAAATGGCCACTAGGGAAAACCTAGCTATTATTTAAATTAACAATAAATTCAGTATATTATTATTTCATGTGGTTTTTTTGCATTTTTGGCTGCATTTTAGTAGGGTATGTCATGAGAAATTCATTATGTTATTATTTTTATTTGTAATAGAAATTTATTATTTATACCATGGAATGGTACTGCTGCTGCTAGAACACCCACTAGGGGGCTCCCGGGCTACTAGAATAGAATGATTAGAAGTACGAAGTATGAAATAATCTTAATCTTTGTTGTTTTTTGCCCAGGCAACACCAGGCTCATCTACTGGTTTGAACATAACTGCAGAGTTTTGTAGCAATTGGTTGAACAATCTAAGAACAAACAGTCAATCATCATCATTTATATATATATATATATATATATTATAGGTTACATGCTTAATAAAATTTGATAACTTTCTATTATTATTGAATTTATTATATATATATATGCACATATACACAATTGTTTACAAGATGTTTCTCTCATCCTGCATTTTGTCACTGGTCTAAAGTGGTTGTATATTTTTGTTTATAGCTCTGTACAAATAATAAGAGCATTTACTCATTTTTTATCAAGTTATTAATTAAGTATATATCTAGTGATGTGATAGGTTTCATTCCCAACTGATATCATAAACTCTACTAAAGCTGCTCTGCTGTTTTGGTTCATCTTGACACTTCATATTGCACTGGTTTAAGGATGTTTCAACAGTTGAAACAATTTGTGGCATACATTACAATAAAGAATTTTTTCATGTTTTAAATGTCTAGGATTCTGTACATACTTTTTTAGAAATTCAACATTAGTTTCTGCTGTTTCATCGATATTATTGATTAAACCAAACTTGATATACTAAAATCTTTTTTGCATATGCTTCATAAGTAGAAGTTTGGCTACTGTAATCACAAGAAATTATTTCTTTTATATTTAATTAAACATTATATTTACACAGATTTTGAAAAATTTTTAATTTGACATTATTAAATTAATAAATACAGTAGAGCTTCGATTATCTGAAAGTCAATCATCCGAAACGTCAATCATCTGAAAGAATTCCAGTCGGCAAATTTAAATTTTCACCAGTGCAGTGGCGCTGTAATCTTTGGCCATGTCTTGGGCTACTCAAATATTTTACGTTTTGATACTAAATTAACTTCTGAAGTATAATTTTTTGTTGTTTTTATATTTTTCAATATATTTATTTTGTTCGTAAAAAATAAAAAAATAATTTTTAACGACATAATAGTCTTCATTAGGCTTAACATCGATGAAAATTCAACGCAAAGCGACACGCAACGGAGAAAAATGTCAACATGGGATAAATTAATATATTTTT